CAACACATATTAATATTGACCGACAACGTAACCGCGAAAGCTTACATAAACAAACGGGGGAACTCAGTCGAAACACCTCATGTGAGAAGCGGAGCGTTTGTGTTGTTGGGCAGAGAGCAACCTGATTTCCATCAGAGCAGAACACATTTCAGGACTGTCGAATACACAGGCAGATTGGCTAAGCAGGGCCATGATAGATCCATTGGAGTGGCGCCTCCATCCAACGCTCTTTCAAGAGTCGGTCAGGACATTTGGGCAGCCAGTGGTAGACCTGTTCGCTTCCCCCCTCAACGCTCAGCTCCCAAGATTTCTTTCCAGATACCCCTCGCAAGGAGTGGAGAATTTCAATGTGTTCCATTGCCGTTGGCCCCTGGGGCTTCTGTACACATTCCCTCCATTTCCACTGATCCCCAAGGTCATCCAGAAGCTGCTCGATGAGAGGGCAGAGCTGCTTCTGGTAGCTCCCTACTGGCCCAGATGGTCGTGGTTTGCAGACCTCCGCAGTCTATCACCACCATGGAGAATTCCGCCAGACAGGGTCTTGTTTACCCAAGGACCCCTTCAACATCCGGACCCTCAATGGTTGCACCTGACCGTCTGGAGGTTGAGCAGAGTGGTCTGAAGAACGAAAAGTTTTCCAACAGAGTTATCGCCACCATCCAAGCTGCCAGAAGCCCCTCAACAACTCGCATCTACAATGCCACATGGTCCAGTGTACAAATGGTGTACCAAGTCTCAAATTGATCCCATTTCTCCATCTGTGGCTCAAATCCTAGAGTTCTTACAAGAGGGGCTTGACAGGGGATTATCACCTAATACGTTGAAAAGACAAGTGGCGGCCTTGGCATCAGTCATCACTTATGAAGGTCTCCTATCTCTTTCCCATCATCCATGCATACAGTGTTTCCTTCGAGGAGCCACAAACTTACACCCGCCAACGGTTCACCGTTATCCCACTTGGAACCTTAACAAGGTCCTTCTTGCACTCACTAAGTGCCCTTTCGAGCCTTTGCAATCGTCAAGTCTCCAATTTCTGACGTATAGTTTTTCTTGTAGCGATCACTTCCGCTCGTCGTATTTCAGAACTGGCAACCTTGTGGATCAGACAAGATCTTTGCATCTTCCATTCCGACAGGGTCATCCTTCGTCCTGATCCTATGTTCATACCCAAAGTTAATTCAGCCTTTCACAGGGCACAAGAACTGATACTTCCTAATTTTTGTCCCAGGCCATCCCAAGGGCTGGAACGACAATGGCATCGGCTGGATGTGAGGCGAGCGTTGCAAATATATATTCACTGCACAGCCTCTTTCAGAAAAACAGAAGCTTTATTTGTGTCTTTTCAGCCCAACACTCAGGGATGCAAGGTCTCATCCTCCACAATAGGCTGTTGGCTACGGGCCACAATAGCGAAAACGTATCAGACTCAGTCACTACGGGTGCCCAAGGGCATAACAGCTCATTCAACAAGGAGCGCCGCAACATCGGCAGCATGGGCCACGCAGGCACTAATCACTGACATCTGTCGTGCTGCAACCTGTCCATCGCCTTTCATTAGGCATTATAAAATAGATGTGTTTGCATCAGCTGAGGCCTCCTTTGGCAGAAGGGTTCTGCAACGGGTCCACAGGGACCAGGAGGGGATCCCAAGCCAGACGGAGTCCCTCCCGTAAGACAGGACAAGCTTTGGTATGTCCCACTACTGGATGCTCTGACCAGCTCGTGGGAGAAAGGGTGTTGGTACTTAACCTGACACGCCCGTTCTCCTTGAGCTGCAAAGAGCATCCAGTCCCACCCTCTTCCATCTGGTGGGATCCTGTTTCAGCCAATGAATTTTTAGCATATTAAGGACGAGGGTGTTTGTCTCTCTTGTCTTTGCCAAAACTGGGGAACGCTAGGGAGGAGTCCCATGGAGGAGGAGGAGGAGTGTTCCGCAAATTAAGCCCAGCCTAAACAAGCAGAGACTGAAGCATCTCCCACTACTGGATGCTCTTCGCAGCTCAAAGAGAACGGGCGTTTCAGGTAAGTACCAGCGCCCCAGCTCTCCATGAAGCGTCACTGAGTTTAGAGAAACTGTAGAGTCTACTCCTGAAAGCACTTTCTGGATTGAAAGGTTTATGATAACTTTCCCCCAATAATGAATATATTTTGATGAAGGACTGGGAAGTAAAGAGAGAAATGTCCTTGCAGCATTATTGGAGAAATAGAATATTTTCATCTGTTTTAGTTTTAGTTTAGCTCTAATTTTAGGACTTACTTTGGTCATTTGGATGTGTGCAGAAACATTCAGAGGAAATACACCTTTGTTTATTTCCCAGTGGCTTTTTATACTCTGTGATTGGTATCCTTCTGAATTATCTCCATGACAGAATTGGAGATATGACTTTATAGTAGTTCAAGTGTCGACCTACAAGGAATTAGCTTCAAGAATAATTGGGTGACTCTGCCATGACATGCTGGCTGTTATTTCTGGGGTTCCCCAAGGCATTTTGTTTCAAATATTCTTCTCATATGAAACCACTAATGATGATCTTCAGCAATTTCCAGTCAGAAGAACATCAGTTTGTGCATGACACCCAATTTTTTACTTCTTCATAATGTCTGAATTGAGAGGTGTGATGTATGTCCCAAATAGATGCCTATATGCAGTTATGAGGGCTAATACATTGAGCTGTAGCTGTGGGAATTACATTGAGAGTTAGAATTTTCATAGCAGGAATGCTGAAAACATACATAACTCTAAGGATTGAAGCTGATAAAATGAGAACCTCTGCTTCCTGGCTGGAGGTAGTTTTTACATAAACATCTACCCAAGGTCACCAAGGAATCTGCCAAGTCTCTGTTAATTAGAAGGATACATAGAGTAAGCCTAGAGTTTAAACTTTTGAGTTTTTTTAACTGCCCATTCATACTCTTCATGGCTGGCTTTTATGCTGTGGACCAATCACACAGTGTAGTGCTCTTCTACAACTTATTGTTGGCAATCAGCAGCTACTACAATGCTGATCTCTTAATAGTTTTTTTGACTATTTTTGAGAATCAACTGGCTACAGAAGCACACTCTGTTTAATCTTTGAGACTTTTGATTCCCCAGTATGCAAATCTTAACGTCCACCACCACCACTACCACACTCCACAGCAAGTACTCTCCTACCATTTCTGCCAAATAAATGGATGATGCTATTGAAATGATACAAGAGGGAACCATAAATGCTGCACCCCCAGTTGTTTCTACAGTTAGATAATCAAATATAATGCTTATCATGAATGCTTATGCCCAAAATCTCACAAAACATCACTATCAAATGTCAATGCAAGAGAAATATGTTAACAAGAACTTTCTCTTTTTTTGTCAAGAAGGAGGCATTGTTCACTCCCAGACAAATAGCTCCCAGCTAATCGGGTGGCAGGCAGAAGCAATAGTGCTGCAGGGGCAGCATGCGATTGGCGATGGGCAATTGAGGGGCTGGGGGGCCAATGTGCGATGCATTTTTTTAAAAAAAGTACTGTGGCTGCTCTGCAAGTTTTAGGCCCTTGCAGGTCAGTCACCAGGACCTGAATGGGAGTGGTGACAGGAATAGCAGCTACCAGGGCCACTGAGGGAACAGACAGGCGAGAGTGAAGCGGGGGAGACCAGAAAGGGAGGGAGGGGTGCTTCAAGGGACTTCACAAAGACAGCTTGGTTTGCAACTCAGTCAGCTCCCATGAGAGGGGAGGAGGAGCAAGGCTGGCACGGCTTCTAGCGTTTGGGGGGGGGGCACAGCAGGAAGACAGCAAGGCCAACACGGCTTCTCCGATTGCAGAGGGCATGGGAGGATGCAGGCTAATGGCAAGGCTGGTGTGGCTCCTAGTGTTGCAGGGGAGTTGGGCGGTTGCAGCAGGCTTTTTACTTTACCCTTCCTGTTACTTCCTTATTGCAAAGGCATGCCAATTTATTATTAAAGTACAGCAGCATTAACTGAATAAATGCTGAGTTTACACTGGTTGAAGTAATTACAATGGTGATTAAAAGTTTGTATTTCTTTTGAATTTTCAATATTTTTTTATAAATATGACCTAAAACTTGATCTGTTCTCCACAAAAATCCTAAAGCTAGATAAATATATCCAAATTAAACATATAAGTCATAAAGATTATTATACCTGTTGATTTATTGACTGAGAAAAATCATCCAAAGCTACATATTTGTGTTTGGCCAAAGAATAGATCACATTTTAGGGCATATTTATGTACAGATATTGAAAATTAAAACAGGTTCACAAATCTTTAAGCACCACTGTGTATAGTGTAGGGATAAACAGTCTTCCTCATTATTGATACCATTGCTATGATTCCCATCCAAGAACATCCTGTTTCTTCTGCCATGATTTGGTTTTTCTTAATTCTGCCCATTCAAGTAGTTCCTACTCATAAAATAAGAGATGATTTTTCTCCCTCTTTCTACCATTCCCAGTTCAGGTTCCCCTTTTATGTCATCTCCATCTCCTACAAATTTTCCTCTCTGCATCATTTTTTTCCTGTTCTTACTGATCCATCTCCCTTAGTCTTTAGTACTTCTGTATAGATAGAATTGCCTCTCTTTCTATCCCTTTCCAGTCCAGTTCCTCCTCTTATGAACATTTCTGTCTGTATAAGGGAAAGAACTGTTGCTGTTTGTTCTTGCCTATATCATTGCGGTCTCCTTCTCACTTCACCTCTCTTCCGTCCCCATGCATTGCATCCATCTTAATACATCACAATATTTCTCTCTTTAAAAAAAAACCTTATGTATAGATTGTAACATTTACGTAAAGGGATTTTCTGATTTTTATGTATTCACAATAAAGATTATAAAATTATTCACTTTACATGGAAATATTTTTCTTATCAATGAATTACTTAGAATGTATGTACCAGTTACTTTCAAATGTATATACTTTATAGTGTCAAATGTTATTAAAACCAGTTTTCTTGCCTAAAACATTCTGAAGAAAATTGATTAATAATGCTTTGCTTTCTAGGTGCTCTGGCATCTTGATATTTTTCGACGCAGTTTTCGACAACTTACAACACACAAATGCATGGGAGATTCCTGTATATTTTGTGCCCTCAAAGTAAGTGATAGAATGAATTCAAGGGGAGTCAACAAATATATATCTATGTAACTATTAGAAGTATCTATATCTATAAAAAAGAGTATTAATTTCATTTCAAAAATACATTTATATTGATTTATAATTTCATGTTTATATGTATATTGTAGATTGTGCAGCAATTTCACTAGATTTGATATCCATTCCTCCAACATGTTCCTCCAAGCATGTCAAGGGATTTTACAAGGCTGGCGTTCACTGGTGTTTTCCCCTCCCCAAACATCAGCAAAAGCCAGCCTCCTGAGCCTTTTGGGAGGGACAACCACCAAGCGAACACCAGCCTTCTGAAAGGCTCAAAAGGCTGCCTTTCACTAGCATTTCCCCCAAATTTGAGATACATTCCTCCAACACACCATTGTTTTTTCTGGGGAAGCTGGCAGAGAATATTGCAAATGTTGATCACATTATTGTGGGGCAGGGGTCACAGATTGTAATTGCAAAAAAAGTTGCCAGGTACCTGAAATTCAACCACATGACCGCATGATGAGACCATTTACAACAGCAAAGCATAGCACCTGCTGAAAGACTGTCATAAATATGAATGCTCATAAAATAACCAGTTAGAAGTCAGGGGAAGGAACCAAACAAATCTTATCTAGAACATTCTTTATTAGAAAAGACTGGAGTGTTTCAAGTTTTTTTATTTAGAAAATGATAGATCATGGCAGAGGTAAATAAAATTATGCTTGGGGAGAAAGTATTTCAACAAAACTAAAATGGGAGAGTATTAAGATAGGCTGACTTTTACATGTTAGAAGTAGTGTTAGTAATGGTCAACTTTGCTTATTTGGACAAGAGAGGGAATAAGGTTATTTGTGACTATTATAATGACTATATAATCTTCAGAATTAGAAAAAAATTAAACATAATTTGTTGGGAAATTTGTTGGTGAATAATGTAGTATCCAGATTCTTTTTACAGATACAGGTAGTCCTCAAGTTACAACCGTAATGGAGCCTGCCCATTGCAGTCATAAGTTGTAACAGGCATAAAGCAAATCTGTCATATGACTGAATTTACAATCTTTCTTGCAGTGATCATTTAAATGAACACTTTGGTCATAAGCAACTGCTGCAGTCATTAAGAGAATGCAATGGTCATTAACCAATTGTTGCTATGTGACTGGTTTTGCTAAAATAAACTGGAAATAATTGTCAATTTTCAGCAAAACCATTGTAAAATGTTTTCGTATGTTAATGGGATGATGCAAAAGGCCATGAACTGGTTATCTAGCGCCAAAAATACAATCATGTGACCCTGGGGCGACTTTCAGAACATTGAATCTGGGTCAAGTAGCATGCATCAGAATTCCAGTCATAAGTTGAGGAATACCTATACATGGCTGACCAATCTTTTCTTGAAAATTTCTGGTGATATTCACTAGTTCATGAGACAGGCTGTTCCACTGTTTAACAGCTTTCACAATCAGGACGTTCCCCCTTGTTTCAAGATTGGACCTTCTCTCATTAGTTCTTCTCTCCTAGTCAGCCATTTGTCCAGATTGATATAAGGATTCCTGCATTGGGCAAGAGGTTGGGCTACATGACTGGAAGGTCCTTCCCAACCCTCAGATTCCAACTGTAATTTATGAGGAAATTAAAAAATGGAGGAAATGAAGCTTTGCTTTTATCCATCAGTGCTCTTTTGTTTAACTTTTAGAGTTTTCTGAGAGTTGCGAACTTCTACAGAAAGCCTGTTTTGAATGAAAATATCTCCTTTTAAGTAGTTTATAGTAGTTAAAAGTAGTCTTTTAAGTAGTTTATAGAAGATGATGTTTGAAGGCAGTTTTTAATTTAAGATAATTATTATGTTATATTTTTGTAACTTGTTTTCGAATTATAAAAAAAAGCTGAGAACCCACAAGTGAAAAAATATTTTCTGCGTCAGTTTCCCATTCCCCTTGTTATTAATCAATACTGCATTTCCCCCAAAATAAGACCTGGTCTAATTGTTTTTGCCTCCAAAAGAGGCATTAGGTCTTATTTTTTGGGGGGATATCATGTGTCTTGCCTCATGGCGGCGGCATCAACAGCCCCATGCAGCAGGAGCTTGTGTGGCCACTGCTGGTCCACTTTTTCTGTGGCCGCTTGCTGCCACTTGCATGTGGTGCCCTCCCCCCTTTTCCAGTCTCTGTTTTGCCATCAGAGGCCTTCAGGAAAGGCATCTGCAGCCAAGAAACAAGCTCTGGATTGATGTGCATGGCGTCCCCCTGGCCTCCATTTCACCATTAGAGGCCTTTTCTGAAGTGTCATCCATTGACATCCAGAGCCCATTTCTTGGCTGCAGAAGCCTTTCCTGAAGGCGAAACAGAGGCCTGGGGCAATGTGTGCAAGCAGAGGAAAGCGGCTACAGAAAAAAATGAGCCAGCAAGGCAGGTGTTAGAGCGTGGGAGGCCTGGATGCAACTCTTAAGGTAAGCAGGTGCGGGGCATTTGAGGCAGCTACACCTCTTCATCCCCTCCCTACTTTGAGGTTTGCGCCTCACCCCACCTCATGCAACCAGGTGCAACAAAGTGGGTGGGGGTTTAACTAGGGGTTATTTGAGGGTGCAGGGCTTATATTGGGTTCATGCGTAAAAAATCAAGCTAGGGTTTATTTTTGGAATAAGTCTTGTTTTGGGGGAAACAGTATATAAAGTTGCAGTTCTTATATGTGCAAGGGTTAATTTATATTTTGAATATCTTATTCCCAATAGTAATCTTACATTCTGCAATGGTTAACTCATCTTATATTATTTACTTTCATGCATGTACCCATATTAGTTTCAGTCCACAAATTGCCATAACCATAACCTGTTAGTTATACAGATAAAATATGCTTGCATTACACACTGTCATACAAAATACAAATATGAATTGTTCGTCCTTTAGTTGAGTCAATGCTCTTAATGACGTTAGGAATTCATAATAATTTTTTATCTGTTCCCATATTGACATTTGTTGAGCATAATCCTTGCATTTTTTTACCAAATGCAAGAATAATGAATAATTGATGAATAATTTTTATTAGGAGCTTGTTTATTTTTGCTCAGGGAATGGGTAGGGGAAAACTTTCCAGTGGAACAAAACAAGTCACAAAGAATTTGTTTGCTTTTAGGGACTGTGGTGCCAGGATGTAAGACAAGGGGATGTTTTGTTGTAGCTAGAGAAGAATGAAGCTTTCATTTGTAGACTCTAATAGTGCCTCTGTCTCACAGTATTCAACCACAACAATACAAGAGTACACAATAGATACAAATTCAAGGAAAACCGCACCAAACTCAATTGCAGGAAATACGACTTCAGCAACAGAGTGGTCAATGTCTAGAATACACTACCTGACTCTTCTCCAAACCCCAAAAACTTTAACCTTAGACTGTCTACTGTTGATCTCACCCCTTTCCTAAGAGGTCTGTAAGGGACGTGCATAAGTGCACCAATGTGCCTACCGTCCCTGTGCTAATGTTCCTTGTTATTTGTATCCATTTCATTTATTCATAATCATGTTTATACTTATACCTGTTATCTAATACTTGCATGACAAAATAAATAAAATAAAAAAATAAAATAAATATTTTCATATGACAAAAGCTGGAAGAATTAATTTTCAGGATTGAAAGTGCTTTCTGAGATGAAAGATGAGATTTCATCTTAGTGTTTGGACTAACAAAGGACAAAAAATACTATTTCGGTTTTGGCAAAAACAAATGAAATGTGCAATCTAAATTATGTATTTATATATACATCTGTTATATTGTCAAGGTTCATAGCTATTTTACAATATAAGAACTAGAAGAGATATACCTCGTAATTTCTTCCCTCCTACATTCCATTTCTAATTCACATATTACAGCGATCATTAAAAATACTAGCCGCTTCAATCATTAAAAATGCTAGCTGCATTCAAACTTGAATTGTATTTTCCACTCATGGAATATAATTGTATGAAGTACTACTTAGTAATTCGGGTTAGTGAATTAATAAATAGGCTTCCCTTTGGCCAAAAGCTTTATAAATTCTTCTATTTTTTTCTGTTACTTAAATCCTATTAATTATTATTTATCAATGTTGCTATCAGCTATCTGTGTTGATAAAATAAGTTTATTTTTTGAGAAAAGCCAAATAAAAATACTACTGACATATAATTATGATAGTATTGTCTTGAGTCTATAGTTAAGATTTACAAAATAATATAAAGTACATGGTGGATAGGACAGCAATGTCTATGGACAGATTAATTTAGGTACTCATGAAAGCATCAGTCAGTCCATTTCATTAAAATCTACACCAGGTATCTAACAATCTGAAAACATGATGCTACATTCCTATGAAATAAATTAGACAATAGCTCCTGGCTGACAAACTCAGTTATTCATCCGGACAAATACGGAATATATAAATCATAAAGACCTGTACAAATGCCTATACAGAATGTCTGAAGCTTCAAGTCAAGGCTGAATTAATAATGTGATTATATTGAAAATTAGTGCGTTAGCTAGCTTTCAAAAAAGCACAGAATGTTGAAAATATGTTATTTGGATTTAAGCAAGAATGGAAACAGAAGCTCAACCACAAGTTGGTATAGTAGTACAACCATTAAATAATCAGGCTATGAACCAAGAATTTTGCACTTCCAGGAGTCAAAAACAAGAGGCTCTGTTGCACACTTGGAATAGAAAGAGCTTGTTTTTATTCCATCATGAATATCTTATTATGAGTGTATCAGCCATCAGGCCAACAAGTGGGAAAACAAAATGTGTTTGTCTAAAAGGTCAAAAACAGCTGAAAAATCTAGGTGATTGCCTAGAAAGAAAAGGGTTGCGTGTAGATGTAGATCAGTAATGGCCTTGGAGTGTCAAAAATTTGGAAAATACCAAAGTTGACAATGCTAGTGTCAGCGTTCCAACCAAACTCCCCATCTCAAATCAGCACTTGGAGACAAAGTTCATCCAAATAAGAATTTGTTAGAGAAGTCATTTTGATA